AATGGACCCTGCTGAGTAATGCATGAGGAAATGTAATGAAGTGGATATATAAGCAGTGATGGCAGGATTACAGAAGGTCTTTACGAGGGCTGATCTGGGTAATGGTCTATGTCTGTCTACGTTTTCAGAGCCTCTGTCACATCCACCTCATAAACAGAACAGACTCATGTTTTCCACGGGTTGGGACAGTTGGTTCAGATCATCAGATCACTGTTTAGGTATTACAAGTTAGGAACATTCTCGCCCATTGAATACTGGGATAGGCTCCAGTCGCCCCGCGACCCCATTTGGGAATAAGCGGTTAAAAAAAATGGATGCATGGATGGAAGTTGGGAACGTAGGTTTGGATCTGTACTGAGTCACTCACAGTAAGCAGCAACACACAGACAGTGACAGTTCTGACAAACAGTGCCACACAAAGCAGAACCGATCACTCCTTTTGTTTTTATCAGAGGCTGTTCAGACTTGTACAGTTAGCCTTATATTTGCGTCTGCGAACAGCTGAATCCTTGTGGGATCTCCAAGTCATCGGCCAGTCCGGAGTACACACCGTGCAGGAAACGGAGAGCGGTGCGTGCACTCGACGTGAGCATCCACTCCATGTGGACATGTGTGTAGTGTGCCCTGTCACACAGAGCAGTCATTCTTGGAGGCAGGCACTCTGAGTACAGTGTGTGTCTTCCAGCAGGCGGACTAAAAATAACACCAGAGTCTCAGCGGGAAAATTAGGTGTTTAATAAATCTGCTAAACTACATCTCCTGACAAGCTACAATTAAAAAGACTCAGCAAAAACACATCAGCTATTCACTGCCCGGACATTTAAACGTTTAACACGCGCCTCCAAGTCACATCCATCAACTCCTGGGTTTGACAAAAGCAGGCGGCCTCTGACGCTGCACTCCTCCTCCCTAACAAACATGCACCCGCACATATAAAGTTGTGTTTGGATGTGTTTAGAGAGAGTGTGTGATGAAATGGCACCAGCTGTGCACACAGCCCCCCTGGTTGAGGAAAGGGTTAACCCCTTCCCTCAGCCAGAAGCAGAAGGGACAGCCAGAGACAAAAGCAGCCACAGACACAATCAGAGGTTACAGCCTTGGGGTTGGCTGCTTTGGATGTACAGTCACTTAGACCCTCCCCCCCTTAGGTTGTTAAATCTTTTGTTTTTTTTTGTGTGTCTTTACATATGCACGAGTCAGTTGGGCTCACATAAGAAGGCCTCGGCCACAACACCTTCCATAGTGTCTTCAACTTCCTTCCTGATAACTGTCACCTTAAAGTGCAACTTGTTTTCCAAATCACTGACGATAAAACACACTGCAGCCCATAATTAAACTCAACAGTTTAATCAGAATCTGCATTTATTAAAAAAAAAAAGTGCTGCAAAAGAGACAGCGTCATCAAGACCATTGCTCAGAAAAGCCAAATTCCTTTAGGATTTAGGCACTGGCTGATTTGGCGATGCCCGTGGTTACTAATGGTAACAGCTCATGTGGTTTAATACTACAACAAACACAGCTTGAGTAGCCACTCTGTCAGAGGAGCCACGGCTGCATCTGTTTGCAGCACAGCCATCCAAACTGTCAAATGGGTTTTGATGACAGACTTTGTCCAATCACACAGTGTTTACACCGGGAAGTTAGTTAAGCTGCCACAGTACTCAGTTGATGAACAAAAAATAATATCATGTTAAGAATCTTTGCCAGGTTTGATTTTTCTCTGCATTTTTTATGTGTTCCTTTCTAAAAAGATAACAAAAAAACAGATGTACTTAGATACACCCGACTTTTCTTTCATGTGGGAGTTCTTTCTTCTATTCTGGGAAAAAAAAAGAGAGTCACTAAAGTGAGCTGATAAAGTGCCCGGTGTATTTTTAAGTGAGCGCATGAATAATAATCTGTGAGGGGAAATGTGGCAGATGCTAGCAAACACAGAGCACATAGATCTCCATTTAAAACATACTATTAAAAATCTCCCCCCATTTTTTTCCTCATAATAAATGTGAACCGTTTTGCTTATTTTCACTTGACAGTTTGCCTTCTGATTTAGGACAGTACCACGCTCTCTCTGACTGCTCTCAGTAGAGGAAACAGCCAAATATGAATGATTTTTTTCTCCAATGCTCTCATTTTTTGTCTTTCAGAAGTGAACAAACAGGGTTGGATTATATTAACTATCCACCAATGAATAAAATGACGATAAAGCAAAAATATTAACCATAAAAGCAACATGACTCAAAGCCCTGACAATGACAGCACAGGTCCTTCAAGTGGCCATAGTTTGCCCATGTGCATCTACATTAACGCGAGGAAGCCATTTGTCAATGTACTCATCAAAGTCCCTCTATAATGGAACCATTATTATAATCTATGGTCAGTTCCCAACTGCAAACAGTTATGGTGAGTCAGGGGTGCTGGCACTCATTTTGCGAATCAACGTCAAATCTTTAAATGCACATAAAGAGTGTGTATTAACATCTGCTGGTGATTTGCTGGTGACTGAATGTAATGAAAGCCTATGCTACATGGGTATTATTACTGAAACATTATTAAACCTTGGGTAGGAAAAAAACAGATGGCCATAAATATGGGAATAACACTGAAGTCTCTCTCATGACCCTATTAGAGTCAATCACATTCCACTTTTACAAAAAACAAAACCGGTCAAATCCAAACACCTCATCGTCTTTGGCTGATATGACACATAACTGATGAGTTTCCCCAAGAGGAGCAAATAAACGATCATCTTTAGAAAAATTATTGATAGATGCATAGAAACCCTACAAGTGTTTGTTCATCCATTTCTTCATTTAAGGTCTTCCACACATAGAGAGGCTACCCACTAAACACCCTGACTACTAAAAGGTGCTCCAAATAAGCCACAGAACCCTGAAAACAAGAGGTCATAATGAGCTCAATGGAAAACCAATACTGAGTGGTGGGCAGGTATATTTTGGGTTTAGCTGATCAGTGTTTGATAGTTTAGGTGAAATATGAAGACCCAGTCAGCCAACAGAGCACACTGCAAATCACGTTTATTTTCGGTTTCAGGTACTGGGTATCCAGTATAAATTGGTTTAATTCTATCATATCGCTCCTGACTAATAGATTTTATTAGCATTATTCAGCTGTGTGAAGTTGTGGCATGATTCTCTCCAGTACCTCCGCTTCCCCTTCATCTCAGTGCCAAAAAAAACAGCAGCTTCATTAGTCATGACTGCAGCACCTAATTAAGTTTGTGCCATTCGTTTGGATTTTTCTGTAAATTTAAAAGAATCTCTGATGTTTCAAAGCGCCTCTGGGCCCTTCTGTCTCTGTTGCCATTAAAATTGAACACTTCCTGTGCCTGCTTTTGGAGACAGGGGTGCCCATTTTTCTAAAATAATCAAACTCTGAAAACTGGTGAAAGTTTGTCCAGTTGCAAAAAGATGCTGTGACAGCTTATAAATTGATTAAATAATCAAGACTTTAGTTCTATGTGACTTGTGAGCAAGCCACGTCTTGCAGATGACTGAATTGTGCTACCTTTCAGCAAGCTCATTCACAGAAATCGGAGGCTTTTTTTGAAAGATGCATGCAAAAGAGCCTATTTGTTCAAAGTGGAAAGGCAACGTAATTAGCATGAAACACATGATTTGCGCTCTCTCTCCGACGTAACTGGTAGAGATACTGGATAAGCACCTTCTTGCTGCCCTCCCCCTCGTTTTTTTTTGCCTCCCTTTGCATTCTGGCCAATTACTGTTACAGATGGAAAATTTCACTTGACCTGCGGAATTTATGAGCCGGGGTAAAACTTGCTTTTCGTCTCTGCCACCAACTCAAAGACACGCAGTGGAAGTTTTTCTCAGGGCTGATGAAGACATGATGAAACTGGGCACATATGACAACTTGGCCACATGACAAAAGAGCTGATGAAACAGTGAGACAAACCTAGAAACTGTTTGGAGCGCCGTCAGACCGCAAACAGGGCTGCACTATGAGGCTGAATAATTTGGGCTGGGGGTAGTGTGAGTGTATCTGAGGAAAGGGATAGGGGGAAGGGGGGTGGGGGGAGGCGGAACCATTGTTAAGACCTCATGAAGAAGAAAACTCACATGGCAGTTGTGTGATTTTTCTTTTTTTTGTCATTCACTTTGGGAGTTATACTGCTGCTGAATCTTGGGCCAAACACTGAATTTGGGGGGTCATAAAGTTTACCCTCAGCATCGTTGTTTCACAAAGCTGCATGAACTCATGCATACAAGTGAGAATGACACACAATGTGAGGAAAATGCTGAAAATATGCTTGTTGCACAGCACGGAGGTCTGAGGAAAGGCTATAACTGATGACATGTGTTAGGTATGCACATAACAGGGCAATGAAGGCATTCACACTGAACACATGCACAGAGATATGTGTCTGTGTGTGCATGTTTTTCTAAGTCTACTCGTAAAGCTGGAATTTGATCATCAGCATTGTCACTGTGAGAAGCGTCTGAGTTCAGAGCACTTAAGGCACTCTAAATAAAGTTAAACACCTTGTAATTATGCAAAGGGAGAAAAAAATAGGTCACCATAACACTGGATTTAAGTGCATCAAAGGCAGGGTCTGGAAGAAGAGCGGTTCACTTGACACTTGGTACACAGTTTCTAGTTTTGATTCCGTTCTGACTAACGTAGGGTGCTGATGCAATGATCCTCTGCTGATGTTGAGGAACATGAAACCATAAAAGCAACAGCGCCCGCGACTGTGTATCACATCACTCTGGTCAGAGTTTAGTAGTGCAGCAAGGCTGGATTAAAAGTAACAGATTCTCCTGTACCTCCCCTGTTTTTACCAATGGCCGCACAAAAAACTGAGAGAGAAAAGAAAACATTTTGGAAAAAGTTTCTCTCTGGGAAGCAATAATTGGGTAACTTCTGACAGGATGAAAAGGCTTTCACAGGTTACCCCCTTCCCACTCCTGTTTTCAGCTCCAACGTGGTACACTACAGGCACACACAGGACGGGGGGTTCTCACCTTGTTGAAGTTGTAGTAGCCCAAACAATGGGCAAAATCCAGGTTGGGGGGATCTCCTGGAATAGAACTCCCACCAGCGGTCGGATAAAATCTTACATCCATGGTGCGTGAGCGGGGGGCGCGCTGCTGGCTGCTTTCTGCCGGTTACAATCCAGGCGCGCAGAGGAGAGATGGACAAACTGACCCGAGCCTCGCCGGGGGGAGACAGTACAGTAGCAGGGGGTGCTGGGGGGGTTTGGGGGGAAGGGGGAGGGGGGTGGGAAACAGGTAAAGTTTCGATATTCCTCCTCTACACCTGCTTCATTTCTGCGCAAGCCAACGTTGAGGCTGGACGGAGTCCAAAAAGCTGTCCCTCACAGAGCAGCGTGTGCCCATGCATTCACACACACACACACACACACACACACAAAAACACACAGCTGCTGCTGCTGCTGCGGCCGCCGCTGGATACAAAGAAACCACGAGACCGGCGGACGAGCGCGGGTCCACCTCCTTTTTTCCCCACTCCTCTCTCAGTCGCAGGGTAAAAGAAAGGGGAAAAAATTCAAACAGTGATAAAATAAAAATAAATTAATAAAAAACAATAATAAAAAAAGAAGAGTTGTCAATTGGAACCGCGAAGTTGTGTCGCGCGTCAGAGCGCAGCGCGTACTCTGGAGCGGCTCCGTGTCCTCCTCCGTGCCTTGAGGAAGTTTATCTCTCCAACTTTCTGTGAGGCAGCGTGGGGGAAAAACAGTGGCAAGCCGACCGCCCGAGATCATGTGCTAAACACACAGCGTTTGGAAGGAAGAAAAAAAACAAAACAAGACGAGCTGCGCTCCACAGATGGAGCAATTAGTGAAGGTGATGTAGCACTCTGAATATCCCCGTGCAGCCCTCGGCTCTGCCTGTCCTGCTGATGAACAAGGCAAATGTGTGAACAAGCCAGCCACTCCCCAAACACACGAAGCCACTCCCATCAAAACACTGCATTTAAATCCATGTGATATGTTGGCATATGAATTAATCATAATTAGGCGTCTCTTTTCCCCTCAATGTCCTTCATCTTTTTAATTGTTTTTATATTCCTATTCCGTACATGTGGATAATAACAGTTACAGAAATTAAAATATATATAATACTGTAGGTTCCTTGACATTCTTAAATTTTCTTTAACATAATTTATTTTTAGAAAGAATAATAAACAGTCAGTAAACGTTTATTTCTGTCGTCTGTCTCTAAACACTCTAACAACTACGTTGGCTGTGGCAGTGTTTAAACTTAGAATTTTGTATCGTCTTCTTTCAGTTTCTGTGTAAAGTGTTTAAACACAACTTTATATATATATTTAGACCACAGACTCCCCGGAAAGAAATGTGTATGTGTGTGTGTATGTGTATATATATATATATATATATATACACACACACACACATATATACATATATACACACACACATACATACACACACACATCATGACTTATGACAAATAAGAAAATCTTTGTTGGTGTTTCTCCCAGGTGACACAATGTTTATTTGTTTTATTTAGTAACCTTTTCCTTTTTTTTAAATAATTTTATGCATATTTTCCACTGTAACATTTCAGCACAAGGTGAGTGGACACCAGCAAATGACACATGGGTATGATGACTAAAATCTAAAAACATTTAGATCTTTACACACACGCAGGCTGTGTGAAAACAGAACTGAGATCTTCATATAAAATATGTCAGTGCAGCCTTTTCCTAGTGAACTGTGTGCAAATTAAGATTGGATGTTTCCTTATTTTTCTTGCTTTCTATATAAATACACAAAATATTTAGCCACATTGCCAGGCTCCAATCTACTTGTCCCCGGCCAAAACAGTGAAATTCATGCCAATCAGGGTCTCACACCAGCAGATGTTAGTGGGTTTTGGCATTGGCATCTTTCTAAATAGGGCTTTCCCCATTTGCTAACAGCTTTTAAAAAAAGTTACAAACTAAGCTACAGCACATACAAAATGATACATCAAGCACTTTGTTCTGACAATTCTGGTTCATTTTGTTGTTGGGCAGTGTGTGGCTCTGAAAGTCACTGAGCAAACCTGTGTGTGCATGGCTCGCATCCCGCAGTGACAAGGATTGTGTAACACATCACCTGGTGCATCAGGTTAAGCAAACCACATTCCAAATACATCCCATTATTAGATGGTAGGTCAGGAGATTAAGCAAAACACAAACGGGTAACCTTCTCATTAACGGAAGGCCTTCAACAATTGAGGCACAGCTGTAACTATTTAACTAAATGTAACATTTATTTAACAAAAAACAAAAAAACACCTCTAAGAAGTTTGGAGTAGAAATAGTGTCATGTGATGTGTCATGTTGCTGATTTAAGGATCTCATTTCATGTCACAATTATATGTAAAACCTTCAAATTAAAGGGTTCACTTTACACTCTTGACATGAATGTTGTAATCATGAAACTCCACAGAGTTTGAGCATCTGGTCGCCTGCCCTACATTTGACCATTCCCACTCCTCTCACTGTGATCCTACTTGTCAACACACATATTCATTTGCACTGCATGGTTTAAACATTTAGATATCCTGTGTCATCTCTTGATTTTCAAATTACAGCAGTTCATACTTGCGACACAAGTTGATACTCTTCATGACTGCAAAACAACTTTGTACAGGTTTGATTATTCCTGACACGCAAGCCGCTGTGTAAGCAAATTGTGCAGCTGACACAGCAGTTGTATGGATGTGTGAAATCCCCATTTGCTGAAGGAAACTAACCACACTGAATGAATTTTCAGATGTGTCAGAGACTGAAAACTTCCAATCTCTGTCACGGTGTTTTGATATGAAGCAGGTGGTTCTGATCAAGGTAGGAGATCTCTCGACAGAATGACAGGACTTGTCAGAAGTCTTCTACCCCAGATATAGATAAGCATGCACCGGCTTCATCCAGAATACACTGTGTTTCTGACAGTGAACAGTGATTTCACATCTTGGGATACTGTTGTTTTCACCTATGCACCCTGAGTCTTGCTCTTGTCACTGCAGTTTTCATCCTCAACTGTAATAATTGAATAGAACTTAAAGTAACCCTAAATCAGGCAACATAAAAGTAGATAAATACAACTCCTCAACTTTTAGCTTTTATGTTTTCATTTTAAGTGATTCTTGATGTTGTTTTTTTTAAAGTTTGTAAAGGCCATCTTGTCTAAGATTTTGTGGGGTCATGTAACTGTCAGAAGAAATCGACCTGCTTCCATGGTTTACTTTCTACCTCTCTCTGTTTTCTGAATGTGCCTTCCACGAGTCTGTAAACCAAATATACAACTTTTGCCAGACAGACAAACATTGGTCAAAGACCAAAACAATAGGACATCTAGTATTGCTGGGTGGTGGTAACGCCAAGTGTGGTATCTACTGACCATGCTAACCACATTTGAGCTTTCATTACACAAACACACACGAGCAGTAAAAACAAATCCTCACACCAAAATGACAAAATGCCAGCAGAATTAGCTTTGGTTTCTGATGTGTTTTTCATACACCTTCACCTCTGTGTATCATTGAAGCCTTGACCACACTACTCTGTATATTCAACTCTGGATACACCCCATCCATTTAAAAACATCCATGTCCAGATGAGAACATAGAAATTCTAATAGATAGCGGGAAAATACACAAATCACAACAGGCTTGCTGACGATAACGTCAGTTCTAAAATACAAGAGAGGGGAGGACATACACAACATGCATTGAGAGCTAATTGTCCTTTGAGAAAACATTTTAAAAAGCTGTAGACTGAATGGCAAATGGGAATTGTTTGTGTAAACAGATACTGAAATAGAGTGATTTATATATATAGGTTACAAATGGGTTCTTGCACATGTTCATTACACAAAGCATTAAAGAGCATGCGGCAGCAGCCTGAGATACTCAAAACCTCCATTGATGCATTATCATGACAGCACTGAGAATAGAGTTTTTATGGCTCTTGAGATGTTTGTAAGTGGATAACAAATGCTAATGCATATTAATGTATTTTTTTATAGACATCCCAGTGTGGACATGGCCTAAACAGTGACATCAACACATCAAGAAAAAACATGGCAACACATTTGAATCTTTGAGGTATTTTAAAAACACTGAACACTTTCATTGAAAGCCGTCTTAACAATATCAAAACAATTATTAATCTATGTGCATATTAAAGGTGATTACATCCATTGAATCCCCATGGATGAATTAAGAATAGCAAACTCACTAGTTGCTGAAACTAATTATCAAGCACAGCAGCACTATCAGTTACTATGTGATCAAGGTGGGAAATGTTAGTTTCTCATTATCACCATCAAACAAGGGAGAAAATAACTTATAATGATCTGATCACTGTTTATATCCACAAGTTTACATTACCAAAAAAAAGCTGTTTTCTACAACATGATGTTATCCTCATGAAATTCTTTCTACACAGTTTTCCTCCTGGCTCTTAAGGGGCAGACATGTTAACGCTCTGAATTCAGTGATAATTTGATCAGAAAAGTTTAGAGATTCACAAGTTCCTCTCCCTGTTGGCCAAAAGCGTTAAGTTATCTAATGCAACACCGTGGAAAAATATATGAAATGCAAAAAAGCAGTACATTTTCTATGTCATTTCAACATATCTCAAGCTTTTTGTAGCAAATCTTTCTGTTTTAAATGACACATGAAATAGTTTGCGTTGAGGAAAAAACTTTGAGAATTCTGACATTTCTTTAAAGTGAACTCCTGCAAAGTCATTATTGTGCACATAGTATAATGCAGTGCGTGAGCCAAACAGTTTAATCCAGCCACTTAAGCTGTCCATAGAATCACACCCTGTGAACTCACAGATTGTCCACAAAAATGGAGAAACAAGAGAGAAATCAGTAGCAGTTGTACAAGTGCTATATTTAAGTTAATTTTTTAAAGTGCTATTTCCAGAAAACAACATCAGAGGTATTATTTTTGTGTCAAAGTAACTTGTGGTGTTGAGGGAGAGCGTGTATACACCAGAGATCCTTAGAGGCCCACCCACTGTGAGAATATGTGATAATGTTTACGGGTAACTGTAGTCTGTGTGAAGAAAAGCTGTGTGAAGT